ATTAAATTTAATTTGGTTTCCAGTGTTACATAAGTACAATACAATACAATACAATTTGTATGCTGCTTCATTGGAGTTCTTGATAATATAATTTTTTATCTTAACTCTCTTTAACTCGATAACTTTTTTTTTACTACATTTTTAATTCGTTACAATTATTAGAGCAACAATGTACCGGATGGTAGAATAAAACGGCGTCCTGTGTATGCAATTTAATAGCATGTCCGTCGTGGGGACTACCGTCGTGCATACACAAATTATAATTATTTGTGCTATACAGTTTACTAACATTTTTTATCATGCTGTAAATTATGAAAAAAAATATATAACGGCCGACTGGTAAGATTAAAGGCTTTATTCTTATTGTATACAACATAGATATTTAATTACAAAAGTGAATTAAAAATGACTATATAATATGATAATGATAGCGGCTAACGTGAATTTAAGAGGGGGTAAAAGTAAGAAGGAGGTACGGTACGGTACACCTGCACACATATAATTACCCCTATTATATCCATGTTAGCCGTTGAAGTTTTTTAAAAAAAAGGCTGGAATTTTTGCATATTTTAAAATCAGCTCACACATATTCAGTCGGTTTCACCAACATTTGTTAAGAATTTAACTTATTGTTAAATCTATTTAACAACTAGTTAATGAAAGTTGGGTTACTTCGAGATTTGTTAGTCTTAACACATAGTTAAAATAATTGTTAAATTAATCAACCGAAATCGGCCTGTTAAAAAGTTAATCGGCATGTTAAAATATATTGTAGTACTTATATATAATATTTATATTATTAGAGTTCAGAAATTGTTTTATAATTTTTGTTGACTGTGTGTACTAGTAATATATAAAAATGAGTTACACATTTAATGAGAAATTGATTTATATTGAGTGTTTAGAAAACAATAGAAATTACAACTTTGATAACCCTTTTATTAGGTAAGCAGAAGTTATTTTATGTAGGTAAAATAGGTAAAAAGGAATGGCACAGACTTGCAATATAGGGTCAAATATCATAATTTATTGTATTTTGTAATTTAGATAATATTATTATGTCTTGCCTGTCTTGAGTATAACAATGAAAATAATTCTTATCACTACCGACTTTTTTTTTAGGTCTTCAAAATAGAAAAAATTATTTTAATGACCACTAAACAATGTGTTAAAACATTATATATAAATTATTTATATAAACCGAAAGGTTAAAAGAAAGTAAAATAAAATGCCAAATAATAACAAACTGACAAATTAAATAATATAATCACTTATCAGTTATTAAATATCTTAATAACTAATGAGAACGTTGGAATCGAGGTATAACCGCTTTGGTAACCCAACTAACGTTTTGTTAACTTAACAAATAGAATATAACAATACCAATGTTATGGTGAAACTTATTTCATTTAACCAGATTTTAAATTTAAATGAATTGTTAACTAACAATGTGTTAAGAGTGTATTCAACAATAGTCGCTAAAATCGGCTGATTATATAGTTTTTTATTTTTTTCCTCACACAAAATAGTAATATTTACAGACTATAATTATGTTTTTAATATAATTTTTACTACTAAAAAATTGCAAAAATCTTATTGACACGATAAAGATATTATGCGGACGGGTATGCATACACGTGTGGCCATACAAGGGTTAAAGACTTTAATGGCCGACCAGAAACACAGATTAAAGAGGTTTGATGAAATAATATTCGTGTTGACATTAAATACTGGTTTTATTATTAGAAAAAGTAATCATGGACAAGAGCGTAGGTTTAACGGTCATTTATAAAAAAAAAACCTGGACCGTTTCTATTTGGGTAAAAGTTATTGCGTTTGTCTCAAAATGTCGCGAAGTGCTCTCTGAGATATAATATAATCTTCGGCGGCTTTTAACCTAGACAAAAGTATATGAAAAACAACGGTCACACATTAGGGTGTCAGTGGAAAAAATATCATTTATGGCAGCTGTGGGGATAACTCGATCACGTAGCTTAGAATGTGTCTCTCTCCCGGTTAAGCTCGTGGGTGAATATCGTTCCCTCGGGAATAATATTATAAGGTTTTCTATCGCATCAGATATATACATCCCGAGTCATAGCCGTACCTACCTAAACCTGTGCAGTGGGTCCAACGGCGGGGCGCAACGTGCTTATTTATGATTTGCCTGGATAATGTTTGAGATTTTGTCTGAATTATGTGGATTCTACTGTTTTTGTGTTGGCGTGGTAAACGAACAAAACTGATTGTTGCTGCAGCATGTAGATAAGTAAGCAAGCATGTAAGTAAAATAAAAATATAACATCTTCAGCCGGTATTACCAACTATTGTTAAATACACTTTTAACACATTGTTAGTTAACAATTCATTTAAATTTAACACCTGGTTAAATAAAATAACTTTCACCAAAACATTATTATTGTTAAATTCTATTTGTTAAGTTAACAAAATGTTAGTTGGGTTACCAATGAGGTTACCTGGATTCCAACGTTCTCATTGGTTATTAAGATACGTGATAACTGATAAGTGATTGTATTATTTAATTTGTCAATTTGTTATTATTTGGCATTTTATTTTACTTTCTTTTAACGTTTTGGGTTATATGAATAATTTATATATAATATTTTAACACTGTTTAGATAGTCTATACCTTCCTAAAAATAGTTTGTCATTAAAGTCATTAAAATAATGTTTTCTATTTTGAAAGCCTAAAAAAAGGTAGGTAGTGATAAAAATTATTTCCATTGTTATACTCAAGACAGGCAAGACATAATAATATTATCTAAATTACAAAATACAATAAATTATGATATTTGACCCTATATTGCAAGTCTGTGCCATTCCTTTTTACCTATTTTACCTACATAAAATAACTTCTGCTTACCTAATAAAAGGGTTATCAAAGTTGTAATTTCGATTGTTTTCCAAACACTCAATATAAAGAAATATCATCTCATCAAATGTGTAATTCATTATTATATATTACTAGTACACACAGTCAACAAAAATTATAAAACAATTTCTGATTTATAATATTATTAATATTAGATATATATATAAGTACTACAATACATTTTAACATGCAATAACTTTTCAACAAGCCGATTTCGGTTGATTAATTTAACAATTGTTTTAAGAATGTGTTAAGGCTAATAAATATCGATGGAACCTAATTTCCACTAACTAGTAGTTAAATATAATTAACAATAAGTTAAATTCTTAACAAATGTTGGCGAAACCGGCTGAACATGTTGTCGCTTGTGTATAACATATAATAACCAATGTTTTGTTAACAACGCAATTGCACTGTTTTTTTTTGTTGTTCGGCACACGCCATACAACAAGAACATTACATATGTTTGCTTTTTAAGTGAATAATAATTTATTTATATACGTTTTTTATTTGTATTTGGTTTCGGCCATTTTTTTCAGTGTCGTTTTATTGTTATTGTTTTATTTAGTTTTTGGTTCACTCCACTAGATAAACGTCACAATAGGATAGTTTCTCCATGTGATGGTTCAAAAGTCTATCCGTTTTTGCTTGAAAATTACATCAGACCAAGAAGAAGATCAATAATAACATATATATGAGATGAGCGCAGCAGGCTTTGTTAAGTTCATTGTTATTGTTTAATAGTTACTTTTAGAATAGTATATTAAAAAAACGGTACAGTGGTGAAAATGGAGATAAATTTTGGTTTTGCTCGATTAACTTATAAACTTTAATATTATTTATCCATATTTGGTGGGAAAAAATAATATAAAATAAGTTTGTCAAAAATGACTTCATATTATTACATTTATTTTATGAGTGTTGGTTATCTATAAAGTAAATTTATTAACGCATATAATGTGCAATTTTAGCTGTGCAACTTTATGTGGTATTATATATTGGTTTTTGAATTTTATATAAAATAAATCCAATTTATTTATATCTAGTCCTTGCCATTAGGCTACAGTGCCTTCTGTGTAAAATTGACATTACAAAGATGTATTCTTGACAATGCCATTAACATGTTATAAAACTATAAAATGTACTTAAAGCTATGACCTACGTTTTCAGTTTCCAGTAATACACAAGTTAATAGAGTGAAACAGGAATAGATCAAGTTGTTTTTCCCCCTCCTCATATGGTTCTATGATATAATTTATTAGTAAAAAAAAAACAATCTCATGATGGCAGCGTTGGGCCTTCATGGCCCGTAAAGCTAAAAAAAAAAACAAAGAGTAGTCACTATCAGAGGGTCGCGTTTAATCCAAATACCATTTTAGTTAATAATGTGTTATTTTTTTAAATTAAATATGTGTGTTATTATTAAGTAATGTGCAATAACTAATACATCTATGTATTTTATTTAAAAAAAAAGATAAATTTTCTAGACAAACTGTACAAGTATTGAAAAGGGGATAGGCACAAAAACACTTGTTATTTGAACCATGTATGTTATAGAAACCTGTCTCGTGTGAAAATAATATTTTAATCTTGGTCAAAATCATATACTATAAAAAGGTCGGGTACCAGGAAAAAAAATGTGAAACCTGTCTAACGAGAAAATTAAAAAATATATTTTATTGTTTAACGTGATAATAGAAATGGTAGATAATTTATCATCGGAACTTTTTTTTTGTATTGTTCCTCAAGAGATTTGAATAATGATTCAATTTCAATCGCCCCTTATTATGTAACAATACAAATGAAATACTCTAATTGAATTGTTATGTAATTTATAATAAACTATAAAAATAATTTAAGATGTCTGTAACAATGTTCAAAATTGTCTGTACATGATGACAAAAAAAAAAAACCATGCTGTGTTTGTCTAAACTATAAATTAATTGTTCTATACATCTATTGGTTTCTACAAATACTGAAAAGTCAACTTGTCGCATTTAAGCTACAGCACTTCAGAGCTTATATTATAATATACAGTAGTTATGTACAAATCTGTATTGCTTATAACACCACTAGTTGGCCTACGCATTTAAACCGCATTTATTACCTGCTAGTGCAGCAATAACGGCTTGGTTCAGTTTGATGGCGCCATTTTGATAATTACCTAGAAACATTATATATACTATCAGCCGATTTCACCAACTATTGTTAAATACACTCTTAACACAATGTTAGTTAACACTTCATTTAAATTTAACATCTCATTAAATGAAATAAGTTTCACCATAACATTAGTTTTGTTAAATTCTATTTTTAAGTTAAGAAAATGTTAGTTGGGTTACCAAAGCGGTTACCTCGATTCCAACGTTCTCATTGGTTATTAAGATATGTGATAACTGGTAAGTGATTGTACTATTTACTTTGTCAGTTTATTATTATTTGGCATTTTATTTTACTTTCTTTTAACGTTTCGGGTAATATGAATAATTTATATATAATGTTTTAACACACTGTTTAGATAGTCTATACCTTTCTAAAAATAGTTTGTCATTAAGGTTATTAAAATAATGTTTTCTATTATATAAGTACTACAATACATTTTAACAAGCCGATTTCGGGTGAATAATTTAACAATCGTTTTAAGAATGTGTTAAATCTAACAAATCTCGATGAAACCCAATTTCCACTAACTAGTAGTTAAATATAATTAACAATAAGTTAAATTCTTAACAAATGTTGGTGAAACCGGCTGTATGTATAGTCACATTAAGTCTAATTTAATATGTCTAAAATAGTCAGGTGTGTACCCAATTAACACTTAGATTAGCCAGCGAAACTCTACAGTGTCCGTTAAATAGACACTGTGGTCTGTTAGCCCAGGGCTCTAATATGCTACAGCTCATTGATTATTGTGTAGTGCACATTTTTTTTTCATTAGTTTTTGGTTAAACTTGCTGGAAGAAAAACTCTTCTGGAATTATACATTTGTAAACCAACTTAGGATTTCTTATTATTCTTGGCGTTAGTTCGAGTGAAACGAACAAAGTTTTTATTCTCTGTTTGACTTTCCCAGCAAGTTTGATTCGACCATAAAAGGTTGTGTGAGGTTTGGATCGATAATGGTTGAGTTTGACGTAAAAGAACAGAAACACGAAGTATCGTTTCACTTTAATTAATGTTTTTTTAAAAAAAATAATTATAATATTCTTACATTGGGTTGGAAAATCTTCCGGGTTGTCCACGCCAGTAAAAAAATATAAATAAGTAATGTTTCAGCATTGTGTCTAATGAAAGAGAGTGAAATTAAAAAAAATATAATACAAAAGTAAATTATTTTACTCGTTGTTTTAAAGGAAAATCGTAATTATATTTATTATATAACTTATTAAAATATATTTGTTCAAATACAAGCTTAACTGTCATATCATTAAATAAGTTATCTTTGATCCATTTTTATCTTACAGGATTCTCAACATTGTTGATACGGATACAATTTTTTTAGTATACACTGATTAGTTTAAAAAAAATATTTCAAAATCAATACTGGAATAATGTAATGTGATAAAATATATATTTTTTGTTGGAAAAAATGTATATATATCCGAATAGGATATATTAATGGGATGTATTCATTTAAAAAGGTTTGGTAAACAAATCTCCTTTTTTTTTTTGTAGGATATTACAGTTTTGATTAGACGGGAAAGAATAAATTAAAAATCCAATTTCATTGTAGCGTTATTATTATTGTTATTTTTTGATTAACAGAAGAAAACAATGTACAGAGTATAATATTCGTTGATTGCAATGCCCTTTTACATATTTGATGTATTTCATTAATTTATTTTGGTGATTTATAAACAAGTAGTCATTAAATACTTTTATGTTAAGATTATTTTATTTCAGACATCCCTCTCGTGTGAATATAGCGGCCGCGAAAAGTGTTTAAGCCTCATTAATGTAATTATCTCTGGATTGTTAAATTAAACGACAAACCAAATAAACACTGTAGTGTTTGAACAAAGGGTTCTAAAATGTTTATTTTGCGGCAATAATAATGGCAGATCAGACAGACTCTGTAATTGAATTATTTTTGCGTTAGTCCTAACTCCTGTGTCATTTTCTGTTTCGTTTTTCATAAGAGTTACCGGGTAGGATGAGTTTATAATGAATATAATATAGGCAATAAAAGGATTAAGCCGCAAAAAGTGTGACTTTTGTTGAGCGCTAGTATAAAAGCTTCATCTTGTTAGGATTACCTTTTGAGGATTAGTAGGCGTCCGTGTTAAATTTTGTTATACTTGATAATCGAACATAAACAGCAATAATCGAATAAATAGCAATATCTCTTAACAGAGATAAACTAGTTAAACTGGAGTTAAAATTAATTCTGTTGCATAAAGCATTTTTTAAATTTTACATGTTAATAAAAATATACTTGTTAAAAGTGAATGTTGTTATCAATGTTTTATCATTGATAAGACTCTGTATGATAATAATATTAACTCCAACTGTTGATACCATTTATTCGATAGCCAGTTAACTGGTAATAACCTGAATATAAAACAACGATTGAGCAACACAGAGTTAATGGGTTTTAGTTTGCGCGCAACTTCGTTCTCTCGTGAGAAAGAGTGTACACGACATATATACCTTGTAAGACGTACACCTGAGGGGATAGTTTACTGAACTCTAGACGATAATGTCCGTGTCGAATTTGGCCGGTCCATTAAGTTTTCCGGTGAAATTTTCTTAAAGACCCGATACGGCCCAAGAGGAGTGAATTTCGCGTTAACCGTTTTCGCCATCTTATACAGATAGCAATGGGTAAGCGGTCATAGGTTCCCAAGCCATCCTATAGTGTTATTCTTCAACTGATATAACTTGGTTATAACCTGGTAAAAAAAAAAACCACGAAAGGCGGGGAAGAGCGGGACCGTCATTACCATAGTGGTAACCTGTTATCAACGCCGTGGCGTATAGCTATAGACTCACTGTCGGTTTTGGCGGAGGTAGCCGAATCGTCATGTGGCGCAAACCCTAGCGGCTATGCGTGCCACCGCTGCCATCACACCGAACAAGCAGCACCCTTAGCGCCCCCTCGTATTCGTTCCCGGACGAGCGGGGTTCTCCCTTAGGCTTGCTCCACCTGCTTCTGCTGCTATTCCTGTGTTGCCCCCTCGGCCCGCGATCGCTATCGATCTGCCGCCGCCGCCGTCGGTGCACAGTCAACACTATACAAAACCACCATGCACTATGTACATAGAAAAACAACAGAGTGTGTGGTTATTGTTTGTGAACAGGGTGGGGCCAGGTATGGCGAGCGTGCACACCGGAAGACACTGTGTGGGCCGAGGGAACACACGTGCGCCCTAAGAGCGAACAACCACCGCAACAGCTAGAAGACCGGTGGTAATATATATATTTATAATTTACACGTACAACGTGCAAGTTGGATATTTCCATGTTCAACACTTTTTCCCGGAACTGCTCGTCGGGTTCATTAAAGTCCACACGCGCCATCGTTCCTACGGTCCGACTTGCGACACACGCGTGTGTGTGAGTCCTAGTGAAATTTATCGAAACGGCTAGGGAAATAATTGAATTAATGTTCGGGCAAAAGTCCAAATCCAACGTGTTGTTGTCGCTGGCCGCCGCAGCCGCCGCCGACGACGACGGCATCCGAGGGCGGCGCACGCGTTCCGATGGCTTTGAGCAACAAGTGTGATCAAAACCGTTACAAGGTCCTAGTGACGAGTCGCATGGGGGGGGGGGGGTGAGGGGCCCATATTGAAAAACTCATTAAAGCGGTTGTATTTCTACAATGAAATCGACTACGAGAATTCGGTTCAGGTATACCAACTGAACGAGACTTAATTTGTAATAATTAAAGGAGTGAATGGATAAAGGTGTTACTGATAATTCTACAACTTTTCAGAGGCAACATTTTAGTCAATAAACGACAGTCAAATACTTGGGAATTTTTTCATTTTTAAGTTCAACGCACATTCAATCGTATATAATAAAATCTTAAGGGCTTATCGCGGTACACTATATTTGAACTTGGAAAAGAAACTATAATACACTATCTCACTCATGGAAAAGAAAATAATCTAAACAAGATTTGTTATAATATTTTGCTAAGTTGTATAATGTATCCTAACAATTCCATTCGTTCAAACTAAAAACTATTTTACAAAGAATATCACTTGACACCTTTATCCACTCACCCCTTTTAATTATTAGGATATGTATTAGTTTTTTCTGCATGATTTTACAATTAGGTACGATTCTTAAACCATGTTAACCGCCTAGCCGATGTACAATTATATTTTTTGTCTGAATAATATTTGAATACTAAACGGAAAGAGAAGCGTCGTTGGGTAGTGCGCTCAGAGAAAAACAATACAGCACAAGTTTTCACCTCACCACGCCAAGAATATAAGTATAGCAATTTATCAACTAAGAACAATATTTCTTCAAGAATATACGGCCAACTCTTTGTTCCCGAGTTTTCATTATATTGTATTCGTGAGCTGTGTATTTGCATAACAAACCATTAAGAAAATTAGAAAATAATAACAACAAAAATTGTACCACTTTATCCCGTTTTGACTATTTTTGAAATATTGACTGTTTATGTGATTTAAATTTAAAATGCTATTTTACAATTTTAGTTCACACTATTCTATATTAATTCAATTTAACACGTTTCACAATTTATGTATTTATATTAAGTTGAAGTGGTTAAATTATAACGGCTGTAACTGTACATTTTTTTTTATTACCACCAAAGATAATAACTTCTGTTAGATTTTAAATGAGATTTTTATGATTTTTAATTTTGATAAAAAGTTAAAAACATTTAAGCATAATATATTTTCATCTTGACTGTCTCTCACCATACTTGTCCTTCTTCAGTGTGACCATTTCACAAGAGGTAAAATTTACTACTCTATATGGTATTTTGACACGCTGTAAGTATCGTGACGAAACACTTTTTTTTGTTTATTCCCAGCTTGAAGAATTTCATGTTTATAAATCACAAGTTTTATTAGGTAAACACGAATATATTACATAAACATCAATTCTGACTTGGGTTGTCAAATTATATTCAATGCAAAAGCATCAGATACGTTTTTATTTTTTTAAAAAATTTTTGGTTTA